TGTAAGTTGACTTCTGCCTAACCTGCAACCTTTCAGGGGAGTTCCAGAGCTCTGCATTACTTCCCTGAATTCAGCTTCTCTGTCTCCTTACTTAAAATGCATAACCTAAGGAACATGTTGAGGGCAAGACAGAAGTCACAAGTCATTGCTGTAATCATAGCAGAGGACAGTGATCATGACATGCACTAACCAATGCAAATGGCTGATAAATCTGGCAAATCCAAAACCTCCACAGTCATGGAAAACTTTAGCACAGCAAATTCTTCTATTGTCTGGTTCTAGACATTCCTACAGGTTCCATTATCAATTTCAGTGCCATCTTCTCAAGCTTCCTTTTAGAGACTTTGTGGAAAACCTGGCTTGATATTCATCCATATTACTGAAATGTACTTTAGAGATGTTTTGTTTAATTTCCAAAACAGTATGTGATTTTGCTGTGCCTAGCAAAGCAAAAAGAGTCAGTATGTCCAAGCTGTGCCTCAAATTCAGAAAGGACACCAAGTGCAGCCACATTAAGGCACAGGATTTCCATCATATCATTACTGTATCACTAGATTAAAGCTGACATTACTGCATCTGGTACAGTGCACTTTGGGCAGTAGAAATGTTTGGGTTTTTTTATGGAACTCTATAACAGTTTCCTAATGGTCATGAGCTTCCAGTATACCTTTCTACTGCAGCAAGAGATTTTATAGTTTAGATAGTGTTCTTTTTCTGTAGCCTCACCTCCTATTTAGTACCGCAGAACTCGGCATGGCTCAAAATAGACGTTGGTCAGCAACGCTTAGGTGAGTTACCCTAAGATAAACAGAAACTAGGCATAGCTCATTGCAAACATTTCAGGAAATGGGGTGTGAACAGTGTCTGCTTTCTATTTTGGTGGTTCTCTCTGTCATGAGTTGAGACACAGTGTTATGATTCAGTTTTATGTAGCAGGCCCTGCATATTCCTGCTGATATGTTACAGGTATGCAGAACAGGTAACTTTGAAGCAAACTGCACAGCACCAACAATACAATTATTTAAATAATTGTGGAACATCCTATATTGTATTGAGCTGTACTGAACATGTTTTGCTACATAAATTCATTGTCTGTCATTCAGAAACAAATTCTGTCTTTGACTAAAAGAGACCGTGAACTGCTTCTGTTTGCATGTATGAGAATTACTGCCTTGCCAGGTACCATTTTGGAGTCTCACCTGAAGACGCTGTCATTGCTCCTACTGAGGGGCCCTCTGATTAATCACTAGTCTCATTGGAACTGAGTTTGGGAAAAAATGAAAAAGTTTTAAAATTATCATGTTATGAGCAAGTACTTCAAAACCAAGCAATCTCACAGCTTTGTGAAACAGGACAATTACATTTTAAATATATTAGTACAAAAAATACAACATTCAGTATTTGACTGCCCAACTGAAGACTGACTTATTTCTGTATGCATACAAAGGAATCTTTTTATCTAAGGAAGGAAATATCAGTATTTCACCTGAAATACTTGGAAGTCTGATTTTTAAAGTACTTTCCCACAGAAATAAATGTCACAAAATCATTATGGTTGTGATACAGTACAAACACACACATGCTCTCACCCAAAAACACAAGAGCTATGGCATCTTCTAAAAGTTGTCCCATGCTTTCAGGTGCTGTTCTCAGCCTGGGACTTGCACTGCAGAGCACACATCAGCCTCTGCCCAAAAGAAGGAACAAACTAAGAGAAAATCCTAGAAAACTGAGAATGACAATGTTTTTCTTTGCCAAAGAAACTCATATTCATCCTGATTTACCTCATAAGAAGTCCAAATGATCCTGATGACTATCAGCAGAGTGGTTTAAAAACTCTGCAAATACAATTTTATATTTTAAAATTGCAATTGTGAATTTTATATATTATAAATATATACAACATTTACAATCTTTTAAAAAAAAAATTGCAATTTTTTATTGTAAAATTGCTCATATTCTATTGTATTCCCAATGATTTATATAGGCATTATATGACTCTTAGCAAGCAAATAACTGAGTATTTGTATTTCCTGAGTATGAGTATTTCCTGATTTTTGAAAATATTCATGTTCTTGTTTGGGCACAAAATGAACTTCAGCTATGTGTATGCAATATACAGAGACTGTGACTCTTTTCAAACAAGTTTCCCAAGGACAGTTAATTTATTTATTTAAATATATGAAGTGGCAGGCTTTAAATGATCTATCTGTAAATAATGCACCTCTACAAAAACATGTGCAAGATTACTAACTTATTTTAGAACAGAAGTTTTTCAGAGCTTCTTGTTGTGCCTTCACTACATTTTTCTGTTGCCAAAACTGCTTATTTTGCAAGTTTCAGTCTTGTGCTTATCTCTTCTCCCAGCATTTACAAAAATGTCATACCTGACTCTTATTTATTTTATCTGTTACAATCAGCCTTGCTTGTCCCTCCCACAAACAAAACCACTTTCAGGAAAAGATGACGTGGTTATTGTTCTGAATATTATTTCATAAGTGTCATTACCACGTAGCATATGAAAGCCCAAGTATGTTACAACAGTGGACTTGGATAAACTTGGAAATTTGATAACGTTTTTACTTTTTTTTTTTTTCTTCTGATTACACTGGTCCAGTTATAGTCCTGTTTTCAAAGTCTGAGTCCTTGAGAAATCATAGCACAGTCAAAGGAGAACTGCATAAAACTTGGAAATTAAAATATCTCAAGACACATTTTATTCCAATCTATGTTAAAAATATATAGTTTCAGACTTTCCAGAAATGTGACATTCCCTACCAGGTTGAATTTTTCTAGCATAACCAAGTAATTTCTGTATTTTTTTTTTTCCCAAAATCAAATGCCCTGGACTATGTTAAGAATCATGCACTCTGGGAACAGAGAATTGGGTATTTGAAAAAACAGATGTCACTAATTATTGTCTCTTGACTCTGATGACTAGAGCACAGCATCTATTATATAAATATGCAATATAAACATAAAAACATATATTAAGTTATGATCCTTAGACTGTGTACAGTCAAAACAGACAGAAGTCCTTTCAGGCACAAACTTCATACTTGTGACCCCTTGTTTTCATATGGTATCATGCTTTGGAAAGTGTTAAGTGTACATATCTTGAGAACAAATAACTCTCTGATGAATCAAAAGAAAAGCCCAGGATGCCTTGACCCTTAACTTAATCAAGGAATTTTATTAATAAATAAATAAATAAATAAATAAATAAATAAATAAATAATACAGGCACTCACATGGCCTAATTATACTCTCATATATATTAACCTTGAAACCACATATCATAAATTTAGTACTAATGGAATTATATGAGATATGCTCAGGCTTCTTTTATTTAATATAAATGCAGATACATACTCATAGAATAATAGAATGGTTTGGGTTAAAAGGGGACTTTAATATCACCTAGTTCCAACCCCTATGCAATGGGCAGGGACAACACCCACTAGATCAGGTTACTCAAAGCCCTGTCCAGCCTGGCCTTGAACATTTCCAAGGATGGGTCATCCCATTCTCTGGGCAGCCTGTTCCAGGGCATCACTGCCCTCTGAGTAGACCATTTCAGACTTTCTTCATAGAAGAGGTGTTCCAGCCCCCTGATCATCTTCATTTTGTGATTCATGGTCCTCCTCTGGACCTGCTCTAACAGTGTCACGTCCTTCTTGTGCTGGGGGCCCCACCCCAGGATGTAGCACTCCAGGTAGGGGCCTCATGAGGGCAGAGCAGAGGAGCACAATCTCCTCCCTCCACCTGCTGCCCACCCCTCTGTTGGTGCAGCCCAGGATGCAGTTGGCCTTCTGGGTTGCAGGCACACACTGCTGGCTCGTGTTGAGCTTTTTGTCCACCAGAGCCCCCAAGTCCTTCTCTTACGGACTGCTCTCATTGGGTTCTTCTGCCAGTCTGTGCTCATGTCTGGGGTTGCCCCGACCCAGGGGCAGCACCTTGCACTTGGGCTTGTTGAACCTCATTCAGTTCATATTGGCCCACTTGGCCCACTCAAGCTTATCCAGGTCCCTTTGGATGACATCCCTTCCTTCTATTGTATTGACTGCACCACTCAGCTTAGTGTCATCTGCAAGCTTGCCAAGGGTGCACTCAATCCCACAGTTTGTGTCATTGATAAAGATATTAAACAGTATCAATCCCAGGATACACTCCTGAAGGACACCCTGCACATGAGGACAATATCCCAGTACTGTTCCCAGGCCATATCTCCCTGCTCCCACCACCTGTGCATTTCCTTCTTCTGCCTCAGTTGAACCAGCAGGTCCATGCTCAGCCATCACAGTTTCCTGCCCTCACTTTCTTACACAAGGGGATGGAGAGTTCTACTGCTCTAAGAAAGCATCCTTAAAGAGTCGCCAGCTCTGTTCAGCTCCTTTGTTCCTAAGGACAACGTTGTGAGGATCTCATCCACTAGGTCTTTAAACAGCTAGAAGTTTGCTCTTCGGAGGTTCAGGGTCCTGACTTTGATCTTTGTCAGGCCCATATTCCTCCAGATCACAAACTCAGCCAGGGCCTAGTCACTGCAGCCCAGACTGCCTCCAGTCTTAACCTCTTTAATAAGTTCATCTGCACTGATGAGCACCAGGTCCAGTAACTCTTCTACTCTGCTTTGTTTAATACCCAGACCAGAATGTTATCCTCAATGCACTCCAGGCATCTTGATCAGGCAGCCTGTAGTAGACCCCAGCCACAAGCTGCCTATAGTTTCAGTCTTTCACCCACAAGCTCTCAGTCTGTCCGTGGTTGTTTCTCAGAAGTAGCTCATTACAATCGATCCATTCCCTAACATGGTGGGCAACACCCTCACTCTTTCTTCCCTGCCTATCTCTTTTGCAAGGCTTGTAGCCCTCAATTCCAGTGTTCCAGTTGTGTGATTCGTCCCACCATGTTTCTGTGATAGCAATTAAGTCATAGCTTTCTAAATGCACTGTGGTTTCCAGCTCCTCCTCCTTGTTTCCCATGCTGTGTGCATTGGTGTAGAGGCACTTCAGCTGGGATATCAGTTGCATCACCTTTTCAGAGGAGCCCTTCAAAATTCCTTCGGGACAATTCAGGTATTTCCCTGTGGCTTCCTAAATTGTTTGTTGTTCCCTAGATCTTTTCTGTCACTCAGTTTTCTGTACATCCCCTTTCTTCACCAAATCTAACTGAAAGCTATGCTAACAATAAGGCAGCAAGCTGGCTGGATTTACTTAGGTCTTATTCAAGATAAATTATTTAAGTCTTGAATGATAAACATACATTTGATAATAATAATGTCAAGCATAAGCACAGTGTAAGACAAGAAGTTAAATCTGTAACTTATAGAGCTATGTAGACGTTTATGTACACAAATGATCATCTAATTTACTTAGCTATTGCTTAAAGGAAACTAAATCTATTAGCTGCTGTTACAGCCTTATTAATATGGTCATCTTTTTGGCAATAAATAGTTTGCCAATCAAACTTATTGTGCACCAATGCTGTATGATGACTTCAAAGATTTTTCCAAAGGTGTAATAGAACTCTGATTAAAGAAAGAGGAAAATTAATATTTTCCAAATAACTGATTGTAAGACAAAGCTAATATCTGTGAGATGACCTATATGACAGAGTTAAGATATTTGTGTAAAAGATACGTGAAAGTTATTTTAGATGATGTGTAAATTACCAATAAGATATGGGAATTTGTGGGTTGAAGAAGTATCCACATCTATTTGAGGTGTTCAGATAAAACAGTTCTCTTAGCTATGTTTAAATATTTTTAACCTAATTGTTTCTTTAAAATAAAATAAAATAAAATAAAATAAAATAAAATAAAATAAAATATTTCTTAATTTGATAGGAAATTATTTTTCACCTACTATTAGTCCATTTCATTGCTCAGAAACACTCAACAGAGACAAAAACTGTAGAACACCAATTTCATTTCATACAGACCACTGAATAGGCATCGTATGCAAATGATGTTCAATCACGCTAAATCATACATATATACCCACTTACAGTCTCTGTAACCCACTACTAGATTCCTTAACTGCATAATACTTTAAGCTATATAATTTTTAATAAATTGAGTACTTTACTTCTGTTATAATGTTGTACAGTCACTTTCAGTTGGCTTGGCAATGCAACAGCTAAGGCTAAGTTAAATCACTGACAGTTTATGCAACAAGTAACAGTCTCCCTTCCATGTCAATGCTGCAGCTATAACAGTCTCTTCTGACACCAGCAATTTTTTCTACTGTCTGCACCACTAAAACATATTTTTCATCTGAACAGCAATAAAAATTGTTTTTAAAACAAATATATTATAACCCCAACATCTGACATTATAATGAATACACTTTGACATCTTCATATAAGGTTACTTGTATGTAGCAGAAGAAGTTTTCAGTCATATAACTCAATTTTAAGTTTGCTTCTTAAAAAAATGAATAAATAAATAACTACACAACTAAGTATAACAAGCAACATGAGACTGAAATATGTTTGGGTACAATCAGTGTCAGCCAGCAGCAGCTGGTGCAGCTGCAGGAAACATGAACTATCGCTGATATGGAATACTTATTTAGTAGGAAGTGTTGACTTTTACCTCTTTCTGAAACAACAACTTGTACCTTAATTTTTTTTACAACTTGTTTTTCTGGATAATTCTCACAGAAATCACTATTTAGAGAAAGGGTGAATTCAGTGAAAAGTGTTGTGAAAAGGGATATTTTCTATGCCATTGCTATAGAAATTAAAAACCGTATGGGCTGCTCTTAAAGATTACAATCTCTTGTCATTGACAGCAATAAAAGTCAGAAATTATTTGAAAGACAAAGGAGCAATTGAGAGCACCTTCCCCTCACTCTTGATGATAGTTAATTCCCATTTAAAATGCAAGTGTTTCCAAAACCAGGGATTAATGCAGTTCTGAAATCTTTGAAAGAAAGAATCATTTAATCAACACCCATACTCTTTTTTTTTTTTTTTAACTTCCAAATATTCAGCCTCCCTCCATGCCAGTATTCACTTCATTACTTCTTGTATTGTCAGGATAGGACACTACCTTTCACATCCCAAACAAGCTTTATAGCAAGATCTCAAGCAGATTTACACAAATCTTAAAGAATGAAGCAAGATGTTTATATTTGCATTGGTCCTATAATTTGTGCTCCTGCTTTTATTATCGAAATGTTTTTTAGGGGATTAATTTGTAGACTGTCACATGCTGCAGACATTTAGAATGTAATAAAGCTTTTAAAGAAGCATTTGCAACTATGTATTACACTTTGTGAAAGAGACAGATAAGGATGGCTCTTTAATATTGAGACTTTTTTTCTGTTTATCTCTGCAGAATGTACGTTTCCGCTTTAGAATAGAGAAGATGGAGTTATTTCAGTCCAAAAGAGATACCTTGGGACTGACCTGAAACGGTCTCACAGTTTGACAGCAACACTTGAATAAATACTATTAATATACATTAATATCAGTTGAGCAGATGCCAATGATAATCTCATCTAGATTGTATTTTCCAGGTTTCCTTAAGGAAAAGCAAACATTGATAATATCAAAATCTGGCTATTCAATATGCCCTGTTTATGCTTTGTCCATTAGACCAGTTAAAGTCAGAAAATAAAGGCTTTGAACCTGATTTCTGCCTAGCAATACAGATTAGATGTTTTTTGTTATCTTCTTCAGGCTTGGGGGATATAGATTTGCTGTCAATCATTGGGACACAGTGAAGTTGTTCTTCCAGAGATAAATTCCACACTTAAGTAATTGCAAAATCTCTTTCTGCACATAGGTATGCATTCAAGTATGCAAAGCAAGGTCACACATTTCCTTTGAAAACAAAAGGAAAGTGCTGTACAGCCTTTGCACAGCAGTTTTGTAGTTAGATCTCTTGTTCAAGAAGTAGCAGATATGGACTGAAGTCTAGGTTTAGGTATCTAAGATAGGCATGGCAGAAGTTCATGTGAAAACTAACCAACATCTGTTATTCTTATGAGTCAAAAAGACTTACAAACAGATAAGCATGGGCTTTAAAGAATTTTACTATGTTGTTTGTTTTTTTTTTTCCCTCCTGTTTGCATTATAGAAGGTGACTGCACCTTGAACTAAAGGTGTAGGCTTTGTTTTGCTTCTTCTAGGTAACAGCAACTTCTCTAAGATGCTGGCACTTTTAAACTTAAATTGTTAAATAAAACATCAGAAACACTTATAAAACAGCTTCTGTTTGCCATAGCAAAATGCATCAGTCTTTATTGTAATGCTCTACAATGTAGTTGGCACAGAATGAATGCAGAAAACTTTCATTTGTAGACAGTATTGTCTATGTAGACATATACAACAGCAAATCTAGACATACACTACAGCACACTAGGAACACAGCAGCAGAGCAGACGGACCTTGGTTCTTATTACTGCTTCACATTTTTTAGATTAGGCAAGGCCCCAAGCTTTCTTCGATCAGTATGTTGTGGTTTGGGTCCTACCCTTGATGACTAACATCTTGGTGGAACTATTTTCAGTCAAGGGATTATTTGTATACTCCCTCCTGAATACTGATCCTACCACATCCACTTTGTGTCACAGGCCCAAACAAAAAGAGGGGGACTGCTGCCAGCATTTTTCCTGTGATCTTTGCATGAGCACCCTGGTCCAAAAAGCTGCCCACTCACTCTTCCTGGCACTGAAAAACTGCTGTGGCAATTGTATAGGCATTGAAATGGCACCTTCACACACAAACCAAACACAGCTTCTGTTTCCTCATGCCTTATTTCCAACATCATCCCATCTGCCTGTTATTTTTCTGGAAAGAACCCTCTCAGCTTTCCCCTGCTGTTAAAGCACAAAGTAAATAAGAATTAATGCCTCTGTTAATAAGATGGCAAAGCATTCAACCAGCAGCATCACTAGTGCAATTGGCAAGTAGACTAATTCAGGGAAAATAGGAAGAACACTCTTTCTCCTCTCATTTCAGAAATGAATTTAACCCTTCACTGGACTCTGAACTATCATGATATACATTGCCATCTTAACGTTCTACAGTCAATGACTGTAACCACACTGCAGTCCTCAGACTTTCCCACTCACGATGCATATGGGTCTCTTTTCAATATGTTGATCTATGGTGAATCTGATTTTGAGGAATCTGCTTCTCCTTGTCCATTACAGAGGAAACCAAGGGACAGTTTTAGCTTTGGACTCCACTGTGGAGATTATGCGCCTAAACATCTAGCACTGCAAGCCTCAGCATTGCAACACTAAATTCCCTTTTGGATGTAGGCCTAATTTGCTGTACATCTCTTCAAGCCCAGAGTAGTATGTTGGTAATGAGTTTAGAAACACTGACCAAATTATGATGTCTGACAAATGCATAAAAATGTTCTCTCCCTGGGAGAACAGTCTGAACTTTTACATAGAGAAGAAACTTTGGCATGTGTCCACCATTTGGGATTTGGAGTCATACACAGATTTTTCTTCTGGGCCCAGAAAACTCAAACTGGACCTAAAGAAGCTGAATGTCATCTGATTAGGGGTAGGGAAGTGTACCCACTGTCCATGTTTATGTGGACGAGGCAAAGGCAGAATATCATGCCTTGATTTAGAGCTGTAGGTGTTGTGCTACATAAGATACTAACAGCAATATGGCTTTGATGCACACTGCTGTCCTTGGCTGAGACAATTCTCTGTGGAGTATACTGGCTGCTGTGAATTTCATCTTTATCTATCTGCCTTTCTCCATTATATATATGTAAAGCTACAGGGCCTAACTTAGGGTTAGAATACAATCAGACAGCAGAATAGGGTGGCCTAAATTTTCCCCATCTTGCTACAAACATCTACCAAAAACACAAACTAGCACAATAGTTGCTCTCCATCCTCTGCACAGCCAAAAGGGCCAGCTAAGGGCACCTGCAAGAGATCAGTCAGATACTAAGTGGGATGAGTTATCTTCTCATGGTGCTTACTTCTCTCCAATGATGAGATAAGAAGGCAACATTAAGTAAGCTCTTACTTGAGATGTCTCAGATAAGTGCCTCTGTTTAGATGGGATGAATCTGGGCTCATGTGCTATATCAGAA